AGTGGTACAAAATAAGTCCCGCTCAATGTGCTACTTTAGTCCAAACAATGCCTAAGCGATGTACTGAGGTGCTACTTAATAAAGGTTATGAAACTAAGTATTAGTCTTAGGTAAGGTAAAACTGCAAAAAAATGTCATATACTTCGAATAACTACATTTTTCTTTAGGTGACTTAATTATAAGAACACAACAACATGGATGGGCTAAGCGAATGAACGCAATATTTTTATTATTTTAGAAGTTAAATAAAAAATAAGCATTCTGTTTTGAACTGAATTAAAATTTCTTCCATTTTTTGTAAAATTAARTTTCATTCCTGTACCATAGAAGTTGCTTTGAATAAATTTTCGTTCTGTTACTGGCGTGACTTAATTATGTGAGCACAAGTGTATATCCTAATGTCTATTTATTATTGAACGCTTTTCTCATATCCGTTATGTGCCTAAAAAGTATAGAATGATTTTGAAAAAATTTGGCTGAGACGTATGTGGTACACTTGAGGCAAATAATATAGAATATCACAATTGACCTGTTTATTGTTTGGAAAAATAAACTTTCATTTAAAATGGTCCATGCTATGGTCAATCTTTAAACTTTTTYGAATAAAAGACTATATAACTGATAAAACACCTAATTTTATGCATCCGTTATTTTGAGGGTTATATTGTATCGTTCAAACAAAAATCAGAAAAATGAGTTTTAATGTTCCTTCAATTTTATAAGCAATATAAGATCGATGTACATATGTATGTATGTAAGTATTCGTTAAATTATGAATCATTTTGATTTATGACGGTAAATAATTGCTGTCTTAAATAGTACTTATTTAAATGACCTATCCCTCTAATGCATACAATAAGTTTGTATTATGTACTTATGTATATACACTTGTATATGTATGTATGTCCAATGTACATACATACATACATTAATATATTATTAGCAGATATAATATAATGTTTTCCTGCTAACATTCATGTATGTAGCTAAATAAAACTCTGTTGGGCTTTAACCTTTTGGTTATACTTATCGAAATTTCTTGAAATCGAAAGTTCTGGTCAAACAAACTGTATCAAAGAGCGCGCATTCGTCAAGTGMGAGAGKGGAGACACAWACAKACATACCATACTTKGATAACGTCGCTGYAATCTCTCRGCACGACGRAATTGTTGCTCCGCCAGCTGTGAGTATAAATACGCCGGCATTTGCGATTAACGGCATAGTTRAATTTCAAATAACAAGCAATAATAAAGCGTTGAAGAAGCGCGCAAAAMACCTCAAACAAAATCTAGAACTAATTTTTTACTAAAAACAAAGCGACTWAAAACTGTTTTTAAATTTTTCTGTTACTGTGAAGTGAATAAACTAAATACAAAAATAGAAATGTCATCTCTACCATTGATCTTGAGCTTGGCTGATGATTTGAGCCGCTTGACTCCATTCTACGAACCGGTGTTCTACACTCGTTGGCCCGCCGTTACCACTTCGCCCAATGGCCGTTTGCGAAAATTTGAAAAGGA